ATATTTGTGTAATTGAAGCCAAATTTATGGCAGGCAACAAAACCTGCAGGAGTGGAAAGGCTGCCACCAAAACTTTACGCTCTGAATGTACCTGCCACCCTGCGTCCTTCCTGAAAATACCTCACTCCAGAGAATGTACCTCTTTGCTTTCTCAGTCTGTAAAACAGAATAGTTAAAAAAGAAAAAAAAAGTAAATTTTGCAAGCAGTATTATTAATACTAAACTTTTATGAAAACTAGTCAGACAAAAAACTGAAAATTGATCTTTTGGATAGTTGCACGCTGGCTTAGGGGGAAGGGACTGGTAGGAATTTCTTTGAATTCAGGCTTAAATTTTACCCCTTCATTGGGAAAACCTGGGAAGTTCAGTTGGTAAAGTGTCCAACTCTCTATTTCAGCTCAGGTCACGGTCTCAGGGCTGTGGGATAAAGACGTGTGTTGGGTCTGTACTCAGCACAGAGTCTGCTTGAGATTATTTTTCTCCCTCTTCTTCTGTCCCCCCAATCATTCTCTAATTAAATAAATTAATTTTAAAAATTATTTCCCTTCCTAGAGGACCAAAAAGATATCGCAACAAACTGAATGATTCCATTGTTCATCTTAAATGCTCATGGGTGACTTACAAAGTTGACTTAACAACTAGAAGGCAAAACTGTACATTTAGTATAAGATTGGTATAATTAATATTTATCGTGGAAACTATGACTTATTTCAAATTCTTTACTTATGTGTCATAGAAATTACAGTATTCATGGTAAAGAAAAGTCATCATTAGTCATCTTTCTTTTCTAAAACAGTTCTTGATAAATATGTCTCTGAGATTCTAAAAGACACAGTAAAAAAATTAGAGAACATTTTAACCCAGTAATGACATAAATGACTTACCTTCTTGCCGGGTAATACTTATCAAAATATTTACCCATTGAGGCTGCAGTCATTGTCCTCCATCAGCTCCATTGCAATATTCTGTGTATATCTTATAAGGGATTGGCCTGCCATAAGTCACAGAGTTTAAAATATTATTGCTCTTTTTTTCTGTATTTTTACGTGGATGTGGGTTCTCAAAATCCTGTGATGCAAGAGAGAGAAAAGAAATGGCCTAGATTAGGGGTGTCTGGCTGATTCTGTCAGTAGACTCTTGATCTTAGGGTTGCAGATTCAAGCCCCATTTTGGATGTAGAGATTAGGTAAAAATTAAATTAAAAAAAAAAAAGGCTTGGATTATTCTAAACCTGACATATGCTGTTGACTTCCTTTGAATCACTTGTATCCAAATCTGATAAAACCTGTAGCCTGATTAAAACAAATGGGAAACTCCTCTTCCTTGTTGTTAAATTAAGAACCATTTTAAATATTAAAACAAATAATAGGTATATTGGATAGATTCAAATCGGCATGAATTTTGATTATTATCCTGGTTGCTTCAGGCAGCTAATGGTAGACTATTTAAATGTTTCCACCAAAGAGCCCAGAAAAGCCCAGGAGTGTGAATAAGAGTTACCCCTGCCTCAGTGTATTACCACAACAAATTACCATCATGTTTCTACTTTAGTTTTTCCATCAGAATAAATAAGCACACATCATGTTTCACTTATTCCACAACCATCTATATATTAGTACCTAAGATGTTCAAGGCTCTGTGCTAGATTCTGTGAATATAACGACAAAAAACTAAAACGCATCAGAGTGTTCAGAGGTAAGAATTTATCAACATTTTATATAACCAGAATTTATCTCACATTCTCTTGTAAAAATTAAATAGGAAGGCCTGTGTCATCTAGGACATAGTAATTGCCCAAAAGATGAGTGCTTCAAAGATAACATAAACTATATGCAGTCTATAAATCTTGATTAGATGTCAATTAAAAACAAACAGCTATAAAATATATTACTGGAACCTTTATGGACATTTGGGGTTCAGCTTGATGAGAAGTATTAGAGCATTATTGTTTATTTTCTTCAGTATGACAATGACAGTGGGATTATGAAGAGAAATATCCTTAATCTTGAATGATACTTGAGGAAGTATTTGGGGTGAAGCATCGTAACATCCGCAAATTAGTTTTAGTGTTTCAGAAATATATATAAAGAAGAAATGTTAAATGGTTAAATGTTAATGGTGGTTTATGGGTGCCCATCGTACTGTGCTTTAAACTTCTAAAATCAAGTTTGGAAACTTCCAGCATGAAAAGTTTAAAAAAACTTTTAGTTCCTTTTTCTCTTCCCTGTTAAGAATAATTTACAAGGGGCGCCTGGGTGGCTCAGTGGGTTAAAACCTCTGCTTTCGGCTCGGGTCGTGGTCCCAGGGTCCTGGGATCGAGCCCCACGTCGGGCTCTCTGCTCAGCGGGGAGCCTGCTTCCCCCTCTCTCTCTGCCTGCCTCTCTGCCTACTTCTGATTTCTCTCTGTCAAATAAATAAATAAATAAAATCTTTAAAAAAAAAAAAAAAGAATAATTTACGATTGTATAGTTCCCTCAAAGGGAATCTCTTCCCCAAAATATGAATTAGAAAGTGGAGACCATACAAATTTAGAAAACCCTTTCAGAATGGGTTTTGTTGTTTTTCTTTTAAATCTAAGTTACATCAGTCAAAGGTAAACTCGGATCTGAGGCAACACTCTTCACAAACTTTGTCCCAAGGGCTTAACTTTTATTTGCCTGAACTCTGTTTTACCTTGTACGTTCACCTTTTCCAGAGGAATTGTGTCTTCACAGTCATTAGCAAGGTACTTTCACTCAGTCCACACAAACTTTTAATTATAGCACACCGGGAGTTAGGGGAGTGTGGAATCAAGATGATCAGAAGATGCAGTTTCACTTGGTGAGTTTACAGTTTTATTTACAGTTTACATATACAGGTTTAACATGATAAAGCTGAAGAACACCCTCAGAACTATTTAGAAAGTACAAATTAAAATAGTGCAGTTCCAAAGGGGGTTATAAAGAGGAAGCTCTTGCTACCATCAGCTTGGAAATGAAGCTGTCACAATAATCTAGATGTTAACAGCAACTGGACATTCATGGACTTCAGATGCTCCTGTAGGTTAAATTTTTCTTCAAGTAAATTCAGGGCACCACAACTGGGATTTTCTAACACTGCTCACAGTTCCAACTTAGACATTATTTTCCCTGAAGTTGAAGCCAGGGGGTGACATTATATATCTAATTATAGAAAAGTTGTTTTTGACCATGGTTTTCATCCAGTCCACAGAGCCCCAAAGAGTAAAGAATATGTGTAGCATGCCGAATATATATTGTTTACTGCAATATAGCACATTATTAAGTAATGATGACATCGATGGTCCTTAGAGTCAGACTTAAGAGGATGTCATTGATTTTCTCAGTCAGTGACAGAGGAAATGATGGATCTCCTAAAAAAGTGATGGTAGGAAAAAAATGAGCTCAATTTATAACAGGCACTAAGAACTTATGCAGGTTCTGTGACAGATTCATTAAAAATGTTTATCCTGTCCAATGGAGAATATTAAAATTCTGATATATTTGCTCAGGTAACTTCTGCTAATATAAAATTTATCAACTTGATAATTTGCTGAAGACTGAAGATTCATTTTTAAAGGAAAATGTAGAAAAGTGTTTCTTTTGGCCTCTAGGTGGTGCTATGTATTTTATGCAAGCACAACACTCCCTAGTTTTGAAATTGGAAAGATTCCTAAAGATTATGCATATTATTTTACAGATGAACAAACTGACATTCATTGAAATTTTGTCCCATTTAAGATAAGAAATCTGGTTAGAGGCAGATCTAGGACTAGGGCCTCTTTTTGTAAAATGTTTATGTTATGATTTATTCAAGAAAAAATTAGTCATTCCATAATTATTTCAAACAATATTATACTGTCATGACAGGTTTAAGAGTTTACTTTTACTGATTCATAAAGTTTTCTTTAGAAAATTCTAAAAGAACATTTGCCTAACTTATATGAAAATATAGGGGTGCCTGGGTGGCTCAGTGTTTAGATGTCTGCCTTTGGGTCACGTCATGATCCCAGGGTCCTGGGATGGAGTCCCGCATTGGGTTCTCTGCTCAGTGGGGAGTCTGCCTTTCCCTCTCCCACTCCTCCTACTTGTGTTCCCTTTCTCACGGTATCTCTCTGTCAGATAAATAAAATCTTAAAAAAAAATAGATTGTAAAGAAAAATGATAGGATATCATTTTGCATACATCTAAATTACTGTACCAAAGAGGAACTCCCAGTCATGAAAGAACATGTTTAAAGAGATGATTCATTAAAAAGGAAACACAAACTGTCAATAGTTATATAAAAATATATTAAAACTCAATAACATTCAAATCAAAACTAAAACATCAGTGTGGTGCTCCTTATTCCTTCCAGATCAGCAAAATTCTATGATTATCCTCAGGAATACTGAGGCAATGATAAAATAGGCACCTCACCTCCTGTCAGTGGGAGCATAAATTGGTACAACTTCTCTGAAAGCTAATTTGACAGATGTTATGAGGAACTTTAAATTGTTCAAACTCTGACATAATATTTCAGCCTCTAGGCTCTTCTCTTTAGGAATAATCAGAAATGTGGATAGTGATTTATATACAAAGATACTGATCACAGCATAATTTATAATACTTTTAAATAAGAAAATCATTTTTTAAATTAGGGTATGGATATGATATCAGGCAGCCATTTACAGACTGCTTGCAAATAATTTTAAATGACACAAGAAAATGTTCATAATATTTTTTGAATTAAAGAGGAGGTTAAAATCTATAAACCTGCTACTGCCTCAGTTCTATAAAAACATTACTGTACTTGGGAGAAAAAGAATGAAAAACATTAATCAGAGGTTATCTAGATATAAGATGAATGAATACTTCTTTCTGTTTTCTCCCTACTTTTCAAGTTTCCTACAAAGTGTACTTTTATACTAAGAATTATAGACAGACTTTTTTTAGAAGAAATAGAAAAAAAAAAAAGAAGAAATAGTTAGCATTCATTCATTCATTTATTTAAAGTAATCTCTGTGCCCAACATGGGGCTTGAACTCACAACCCCAAGATCAAAAGTCATGTGCTCTTCCAACTGAGCCAGCCAGGCACCCTAGTAAGTAGCATTTTAAATGATTTTGAAACCTGTCACTCTGTGAATCATGTGAGGCTGGGAGATTCAATGTCTTCCTGGTTTGCTCCCTTGTACTGGTAGTCAGAATGAGGAAACCCTACAGTATTATTTCCCAGAGGCAGAAAAACTATGTCTGATTTGCTTTCCCTTTTATCTCTTTGAGAAAAATCTCTAAACCTCAAAGTCTAAAGTTCATTTTAGACAGGGCTGAACATACCTCCCTAAATATATGCTGTCCACTTACCTTCTTTTTTTTTTTTAATATTTTATTTATTTATTTGACAGAGATCACAAGTAGGCAGAGAGGCAGGCAGAGAGAGAGGAGGAAACAGGCTCCCCGCTGAGCAGAGAGCCCGATGCGGGGCTCCATCCCAGGACCCTGGGATCATGACCTGAGCCGAAGGCAGAGGCTTTAACCCACTGAGCCACCCAGGCACCCCTCCACTTACCTTCTTCAAGATTTTCCTTCTCCCTACTTTATTTTATTCTATGACTCAATTTTTAAAATCTCTTTTTGTGCATTGTAATTCATATTAAGTTTTCTAACTAGTACAAAGTTCACACATTCAGATGTCTTGCTAGATGCTCCTTAGCTCATTCTTGAATTGGTTCCTGGAGTCAGACGCGCTACCGTTGCGCCACGAGGTCGGCCTTGAATTGGTTCCTGAAAAGTGCTCAGTTTAATTCAAAGAGCTGCTTGCTAGCTCCCAATCCCCAACTTAAAAATTATTCTTTCTTTTTCTAGGAAAAAATGTTGGCTCATCTGAGACTTCATTTTGTAATTCAAATTGTCTTGTAATGATGCAACTCATGAAAAGCATATTTGTTATTAGGTAGTGAAAAAAGTCTAGAATTAAACTGCAAGAGACCTTGACTTTTGTCCTGGGGATTGGTTATCAGGACAGTGAAGAATGAATGGTTTAGCATTTCCATTTGGCACTAATTATGTGTGTGATCTTTGGCAAATTATTTATCCTCAGTTTCTTTACGTATAAAATTAAGGTAATGGCCTGATGACCCATGACTCGTGACCTGACATAGGAGCAGAATATTTGAAATTGTGCTTACATTGGAAAATCTGGGGCATATGACTCCCACCCATTTAAGATCCCTTCTGATTTTGAAATGCTTTTCTGCTCACAGTGTACTTTCATAACAGCATCTTTAGCAAGGAACATTCTGGACCTTTGCCTCTCGAGCTTGATCCCAGATCCCATACTTTAGAGGCACTGCTGGCTTCTGTTTTCTTAGTTACTCGGATAAGGCAGTGCTTAATCATTGGAGCCAGAGGCATAGAAGCTGCTACCAAACTCCTAAAATAATGCTGTGTGTCAGCCACAGGCATGAACACATCTGGGAGAGTATAGCAACCACATGCACAGATGTTTGTACGTCTTTGTTTTGCGCAGGGAAATATAAGCAGAAACTCTAGTGTGTAACAATCCCCTAATCCTCTCCTAAAGCTGGCTACCTGCACAAATTATGATTTGAGGGCTTGCCAGCCAGGGTGCTTCATCCAAAAACACCTATTCCACTGCTTCTAGTCCAGTTTCATTGAGCTTACCTTTGTCTCTTGAAAGCTGCCACAAATGCTTTAAAAACACACCTCTCAAAAAATGGAAAGAAATCTAACCTTAGGAGGACAAGGAGCACTCATAGGGCTATAATAGGTCAAGTTCAAATGAAAACACCATGAATGACACATTTGCATCTTCCCATTTCACATTCTCTTTAGTCATTCCTATGTTATCAAGTGTACCATGCTTTAATGTAAGTCACAGGGGTGCCTGGGTGGCTCAGTTGTTTAAATGCCTGACTCTTGATTTTGGCTCAGGTCGTGATCTCAGAGTTGTGAGATCGAACCCCTCATGGGACTCTGTGCTGACTGTGAGGCCTGCTTTAGATTCTCTTTCTCCCTCTGCTCCTCCTCCCCTACTTGCATGCGCTCTCTCTCCCTCTCTCTCTCTCTCTAAGAAGTCCTCTCTCAATTTGTCTGTTCATGTTTGAGTTGCTGTTGAAAAATAGACTTCAGGTTAAGCTTTACTTTGTGCCTGTTTTTAAAATGATTTTTTGGGGGCAGCTGGGTGGCTCAGTGGGTTAAACCCTGCCTTTGGCTCAGGTCATGATCTCAGGGTCCTGGGATCGAGACCCGCATTGGGCTCTCTGCTCAGCGGGGAGCCTGCTTCCCCCTTTCTCTCTGCCTGCCTCTCTGACTGCTTGTGATCTCTCTCTTGCTGTCAAATAAATAAATAAAATCTTTTAAAAAATAAATTTTTTTTTATCTGAATCATATTCCATTTTTGGCTATAAGTGTGTTTATAAGGAAACTTATATTTATCTCTTGGTGCCTTGTTAAACAACTACATATAAAGGCAATAACTAAATTTTTAAATAAGAGATTATGAAAATGTATTAAGTATAGGGGATATTTCTATGTCTTGGCATTGTAAACTATAAACAATGAACAAGCTTTATTTTATCTCAGGGTTCTTAGACCTATTCATAGTTTATAAACATAGTGATAGTTTTAGCTTATAACATAAATTTATCATTTTAAACAGCTTATATTAATTAGTTATGAAGACAAAAGTAGATTCTAAGAAAACAGAATTCTGAGCATCCCAGATAGATAGTATAGCATGACTTTGGCCACAGCTTGAGTAAGACAAAACTCAGTGGAAGATGAAGACAGTTGCAAGAAAAGATGCCCAAACAAATATATGCTTGAAGTTTCAAGACGTCTCATGGGAGGGAGCTCCTGGTTCTGCCTGGGAATGCCAAGGAAGACCTGCCTGAAGAGGGGATGATTCCTGGAGAAATATACACCTGCCATCATGATCATAATCGAGTGAGAGAGAAGGCAGGTGTAGGTAGAAGTGCTGGCTGAGTGCAGGGTACTTAGCCAGCCTGAGAGATTCTAGAAAGCTGCTTGGAGATGGACCCACTGAGGGTTGGAGGAAAGATACGGAGTAGGAGAGTCTTTCAGAAAGACAGAGCAGAGGTGTGGGCTTAACTTGTTCAGGGAATGGCAAGTATTCAGAAAGGTCAGGAGTCAGGATTTGTGAGGGAGTTGATAAGGGAAGAGTGAGGGAAAATAAATTCAGGAATGCCATGTGTCATGCACCATGCTGAACATTTGGCATGTATTAGCTCATTTAATCCTCATCTAACTCCATGAAATAGTTAACATTATCTCCATTCTATAGAGGAGGACATTTATGTCCTCAGATTTTTTGATACTGTTCCCTTTAAGATGTAGATCCTAATTCCTCTCCCCTTGATTGTAAGTTAGTTAATCACTTGCTTCCACCTAATAAAATATGGCAGAAGTGATGATTTGTGACTTCTGAGACTAAGTCATAAAAAGCATAATGGCGTCCTTGCTCTCTCTCAGATCCTTCACCCTGGAGGAAGCCAGCTGCCATAAGATGAGGACTCTATGGAGTTGCCCATATGGCAAGAAAGTGAGCCCTCCTGCCAATAGCCATTAAGGAACTGTAGCCTCCTGCCATTGGCTATGAGCAGGAGCCATTTGGAAAGATCCTCTAGCCCCAGTCAAGCCTTCAAATGACTGTAGCCCCAGCCTCCTCTGCAAACTCATGAGAAATCCTGAGGCAAAACTGCCTAGCTAAATCCCTCCCAAATTCCTGACCTCATACAACCTCTAGCACAATAAGTGTTCATTGTTTTTAAGCTATTACACTTTGAGGTGATTTGTTACGCAGTAGGAGATAACTTTTGTATACTAAGAGACAGCAACATATTCAAGGTCATATAACTCATAAATTACAAATTTGAAATTTGAACCCATACATTTCAACTCCAGAGTTGACTAACCTATAAATTCCTGCCTTGAAAAGTAGGTGGGGGCCTGATCCAGTGTTAACACACACACACACACACACACACACACACACACACACACACACATACACACGTGTATGCACATACACACTTCTTTTCTCGCCTTTCTTTCTTTCTTTCTTTCGGACTTTATCTTGATAGTAGGAGTGAACCACTGAAAGCAACTGAGTTTTAGTAAGTTTTAGAAAGACCCTTTGATGTTGAGGCCTGATTATAAGGGGCCACACCTGGAGTTAGAACAGTGTCAGGTAATGGAAATAATCCAGACTGAGAATGGTGAGGTCTTGGGCTAAGGCACAAGACAGAAAGGTTAGATTGGAACGCCTGGGTGGCTCAGTTGGTTAAGCATTCGGCTCAGGTCATGATCCCAGGGTCCTGGGTTAGACTCAGGCTCCCTGCAGCCTGGGAGCGTTTCTCCCTCTGCCTGCTGTTTCCCCTGCTTGTGCTTTCTCTCCCTCTCTTTCTCTCTTAGACAAATAAATAAAATCTTTTAAAAAGGGGAGGGGAGGGTTAGACAGGTTCAAGAAGTGTCTAGGAAGTAGACTTGAGGCACTTCTAGGTGGCTGACAAAATGTCTTTGGCGCTGGCCTGTGAGAGGGCAGGAGGGGGTGGTAGAAGGACTTTCAGAACTGAGTCATTCCTGGTGCTCCAGCTGGTGAGGGAGGGAGGGGATGTTGGCAGCCCGTGGGAGAGTGGGAGAGGATCCTAATGAGTTCTGCCTTGGACATGGTGCCTTTGAGAGGTCTTTGAGACATTTAACAGACTCTTGCGAGGTGTCTGCACTGGACTGGCACTGCAGAGGAGAGGTCTGAGTTGAAGTGGGGACTTGGGGGTCACCAGCCTGCCTTCAGAAGATGCTGAAGGGACAGCGTGGATGACTGCACCCTGGGAGAGTGTGTGCAATGAGGGGAAGAGAGCACTTTCCAGGGAGAGAGAAGCCAGAGAAGGGAGAACCAGGGCATCTGAAGAGCCCAGGGTAGAGGGAATACCATTAAGGTGTCAAATACAGCCTTGTTTTATGACAAATGCCACTTTATGAGTCTGTGAAATGTGGCCAGTGACTGCTAGGCCTGCCACTTGAAAGAGCACCCTGCGGAGAAGCTTCTGCACAG